TAACTCTGCATGAAGAGGTGAAAATTTGCCCGGGTGAACTCCTGATGAATGGTCTCCAGGAGGACGTCCTCTTCATCCTCCTGGACGCCGTCCGGCACCCCCTCCCTTCTCGCGCCTCCGGCCGGTCCCCGGGCGGCCGGAGGCAGGTGGAGCTCCGGGGTGTAGGTGAAACTGAAGGGTGTCCGATATATCAGGCTGTCCATCCTGACCAGGGAAAGGGGAACGGTGATGGGGCGCCGCAGGCAGCGCCAGCCGTCGGAGAAAACCGTGACGTCCGGAACCACGCACAGCAGCGACCTGGCTGACCTGAGCCGGACAGAGACAGACGCCGGTCAGTGGGGGGCTGGACTGGACCAGCGTTCTAAAAACAATTCACCGGATTCACGATGGGCCTAAAAGATGTCCAGCGGTTTGCCGTGTTCCTTTAGACCCCTCGAGTTTTATAATGCTAGAAAACAAGGCTGTTGATGTTAATGTTAATAAGTTGACTGCCAAACAGAGGAAGGATCTGGAGATGGAAGCTTAAAAAAAGTTGTAGCCTTTAATGAGGGTTCCTCGCAGTATTTCAACTTTATTTAGCTTAATCCAAACATTTAGAGACACTAAACACATGATGTCTTTACCAAATTGTGCTTATTCTGTATTGATCATCCATTCTTTCCATTGAATTGTCTTCCTGGTGTATAGAAAGTTGTGGCCAGAGGGTTGGGGGTTTATTTAGTGTCAGCTGTTTTGTTTGCCCCCTTGTGTTACACATAGTTTAGCGAAACCAGAATTTAAATTGCCTTTATGTGTCTCCCAGTGTGTTGGTCGGTCACTTTGTTTTGTTCCTATAGTTCTGAGTTTAGTTCTACTATGTTGACCTCTCTTATGGGCCTGTTGAATTGAATTTTTGCTATGGAGACATTAATATTTTCTGGTCAAGAAAAATAAAACATTTTTTAACAAAAGCAAAAGTGTCCCTGTTGTGGAACTAAAGGGGAAATACAATCACGGCAAAATAATTTTAACGTCTGAGAATGTCAGTGATTGCATGAGGTGAAGATCGGTCAGTTGAAAGATTGGCCGTCCAAACCGGAAAAAGTTTGTAAAACACAATTTAACAGTTGCTTTGTAAGATACTATCTGCATTTCTTGAGTTTTCTCCCCCCAAAAAAAGTTTTTGGGGATTTGTCAAACAAAAGTAATTTATTATGATGTACAACTAAGAAATGAAGTCTGGACATATTTAAAAAGGACAAAGAAAGTAGAATGCCAGGAAAAAATAGAAGCAGGAACTGTTTCAGGAAACTCAATGACTGTCCTGACTGATTCAAGCAAAGCCCAGAAGAGCGTCTCTGGAGAAATCTTAAAATAGCCGTGCACTGATGCCCTCTGTCCAGCCCATCCGAGCTCTGTGGATGATTTCCAAAATAATCTGAGGCTGCTATTCTGAGACTACCATAGGTGCTTTATCTGAGAATGCAAAACCAGAGGATCTCTGTCCTATTACTTCTTTGTAATATTAAAAAAAAGTTTCCTTTAGCTGTGCCAAATATGGGTGTGTTCTATAGGATTAAAATCGCCCGACAAAATGAACAGTGACGTTTTTCCAAGTTTAAGTGACAGAAACACTGAAGGGAAGCCATGCGTGCTGAAATATGAACTTGTTGGGACTTGTTGTGCAAATTGCTCTAAACAGCAGGTTTTGTAAATGTCTTCTTTCAGCATTTTTCTTCTTAAATGTCTTAGCTTGTATGACCACGCTTCCCGATTGGACGCAGCTTCTCAAACGGCACTCTGAGCATAACTGAGTTATTCATATCCTCTTTTCCCTCTCCGCTGCGGAGCTCCTGGAAGGAATCTTTGCAGAAACTCTGGGTTTGCTCTGAGTTACGTTGCCTCAGCACTTTAGGTGTGGGATCTGAGGTGGTTTTCTGACGGCGGCTGCTTTGGTCCGGGATGGCTTCTGTGAGGGGGCGCATTAATGCCCAGATTCTGTGGAGACCCTCTGTAAATCACAGGCTCCGACACAAGTGTTAGAGAGGACTGTTTCCTGTAAGCCGAGTGGAGTTACTCCTACTGGTGTTTGACTTAAACATTAGACCCTTTATGCCCCTGTGCTCCAACCTTTAACACACTCTAACCCAGGTGACTGGAGTTTGAGTCCAGTGTGGAACCTTTGTTTGTGCTGGTATGATCATCATTTGTTTGGGCTTTCAAATGAATTTGTCCCAAATATCTTATTTTTAAGTAAGGTCAGTAGTTTGGATTAAAACAAATCCCTCATTAAGTTTTTTTCACATGTTAAAAGACAAGTCACTCACAATGACTTGTTCCTTCACTTTTGGGGGTTGATTGGTGTCTAATAGTCAAATGATTCATGAGAACAAGTCAATCTATCCAAAAAGAAGACTCTCAAAACCAACAAACAGGTCCCATTGGTCCGATCATCCGCTGTGCTTTATGGAAATTCCATACCAAAAAGGTAAATCTCTACTTGCTTCCTCTCAGTTTTACGATTTGTGAAAATGCCCCCTAAATGTCTCCGTTTCCTTCTGCTTTTATGCTCTGCAGTTCTTAGAAGTCTCACTTAAGACATCAGCTCTAATTCTGTCCTGATGCTGTTGAACTCAACACCGGGGGCCTCTTCGGCGAAGTGCGGGAGCACGGAGCGGTCATAAATAAAGACAAGGCCTCCGAGGCGAGGGGCTAACCCCAGAACAGAAGGAACTTCTGCGGTTAGCTCATAAACAAAGTCCATAATGTTTACTGATTTTAAACAAAGGGAGGTTGGTGCATATTCTGGCTTCAAGCCCACCAGATATAGCAGAGAAAAAATATGTTTTAGTTGAATTAGAAGCGAGATGCGAGAGGGGCATCTTTAATTCAAAACTATTTGGTGAATGTTGGGAAATATGGAGATTATCTGTAATTCTGAAATATGAAGGTCTCCATAGTAGATATCCACAGGATCATTATGTTTTCATATTTTTATTTCAGGTTAAAACGTGTTTGCAGTCATATGTGATTCTATATCTGATATTTGACTGGCTTTTTACTGATTCTTCTCTAAGTTTGTTAAAGGTACATAGCAATTCTTCCCAGCCTTGTAGAGAAACTCTATTATTTGCTAATATATTCATTCTCCTTCCTACGGCAGCCCAGTTCTGCTCTGACACACTTTACTCACTTGAACATGGTCTCAGCCTCGCTGTTGCCGAACCAGACTTTGAGATGAGGACTGAAGTTTTCTCCGTCGACCTCCAGCATGGCAACGTGTCCTCCCCCGTTCACCTTAAATTGAACAGAAACAGCACGTTTAATCCTCTGAAATGTCCCCATTTACTTTATCGAACAGGAAAAAAGAATCCCTGACGTTTTAAATCAATTTCTAAGTGTGAGTATTAGTCTTAATTAGTATTAGGCAGGTGGAGTCAGTAAATTAATTCAATTCAATTCAATTCAATTTTATTTCTATAGCGCCACATCACAACAACAGTGGTCTCACAGCGCTTTCCAAACAGAGCAGGACAGACCCTACTCTGAAGTTAATTACAGAAACCCAACAATTCCCACCATGAACAAGCACTAGGCGACACAGGCAAGGAAAAACTTCCTTTTAACAGGCAGAAACCTCGAGCAGAACCATGGCTCAGGGTGGGCGGCCATTTGCCTCGGCCGGTTGGGGGTGAGGGAAAGAGAGGGCAAGAGAGAGAGAGGGCGAGAGAAGGACAATCAATAAAGATGGACGAGATATTGGTTAAAAAAAAACATCTGACCTCTAAGCCTGTGATAACGGGAAAGGGGCTGATTGGTGTCTGAATGCAGGCCAGACCCTGGTTAAAGGTGAACTCCACTTGTTCGACACCGATAATGGTCCAGCAGGATCCATCGTTCAGCACCACTCTGCTGGGGTCTCTGGCGCTGGGCGGGGCCTGGCGGGGTGGCATTCAAATAGAGGAGCAGAGGCAGGAGGAGGTGGAGATGGTGACGTGTGGATGAGCATTCAGGGACAGATGGAGGCACCAGGAGGGAGAGGACAGAAGAAGAAAGGAAACGGGGTGGAGGGGAGAGACGGTCCGACCTGATGCTGCACGATGGCGTCGTTTGAGAGGCACAGGAAAGCGTTGTGGTCGTCTCTGAACTGGAACGCACACTTGTGCAGCTGAGAAACTGGCTCGTCCACGTCCAGGATGGCGTGCTGCTTGTTGACCTTCCGAATCACCTGGAGGCACCAAAAAAATCTCGGGAATGTTTTCAAAAAGTCCAAGTTTCCTCCACTCTATCGTTATTTTTTTTTCACTTTTGTGACAGTGAACCTGACATTTCGACATCCTGAATATCTAATCACGAGAGCCCTGAACTTCTAATCCTTCCAACTCTGTTAAGCTAAATGACAACTCCTTCAAGCAAGCCGAGTCAAAGAAAGCGAAGAGAAGTTTTTAATATTTTCACACAAACCAAAGAATTTGGTCCGAATAAAAGTTCAGAGGAATAAAAGCAAATATCTTCTTCTGATTTCATACTAATTCCTCTCGTTTGATTAACATATTCCAGTTCAGGACTGATAGTCTCTGCTCTGTTTCAGTGGGTGATTTGAACTTCTGAGGTCAACTCTAAAACGTATCTAGAGAGCTGAGATGAAGAGACAAAAGAGAAAGAAAACAGAACAAGTTTTCACGTTCTATGAACCAGGGACAGATGTCAGATATGACATGACCATCAGAAAAAGTGTTCATTCCACCTCATTAAGCTGACTATGAGGTACATTTTGGATTTTTGGAGAGTCACCAAAAAAATCACTAGTTTTTCTGAAACCTGGCATTGTAAATCCCTTTGTTTGATGTAGGCAGTAAAGACTGTCTGTAATAGGTGTCCAGTCTCAGGGTATTCACCTAATAAGGTCTCATATATCTACAATTTCACTTTTGTGAAAATATAAACACAGTTCTTGGCAAAACTTTGTGAGAAATCACTTCCAGGATGATGATTCTCAATTCCCTTGTCTGCAATGTAAATGTTTTAGTGTGTTTATGTTTCAGATGTGCTGCTATATCTGGTGGGCTTGAAGCCAGAATATGCACCAACCTCCCTTTGTTTAAAATCAGTAAAGCCGGATTTTTACACAAAAAATGAACTCTCACCTGTATTTATTTGCAAGCAGCAAACAAAAATGTTGTCATTTCTGTGCTGAGATTTTCAGAAGGTGGTCCGCACACAGATGGAGGTACCGCGGCGACTTAGCATTAACACACTTAAAAAACACCCAGACTCCATTCCACTCAGGATATGAAATGCTTTGTTTGCATTCGTCTGCAGATCCAGCTGAACCCGGCAGTCTGTGCATTCACCACACCTCCCCACAATCCTTGAACTGTGACCGCAACAGAAATCAGAGCCGTGTTCCCTCTCACGCCAAAGACTTAGTGGGTAAAATCTCTCTATCTTTAAACAAACCGTGCAGAAATAAGCCTAAACTGCAAAAATACATGGCGGCGTATAGCCTGCGGGTACGCCTTAACTGTCCTCCTCCAGGCTCACAGCTCAGGGTGTTGTGTCAGCAGCCGAGGAGGTGAGCAGAAAAAAGGTCTGCTCAGCCAAACAAGAGGGATGGAGCCTCAGGTGGAGGATGAGAGGATCACCGTCAACATGTGCAGAATAAGCATGTTACATAACACCCGCCCAGAGAAAACGCCCGCTTTTACAAAGGACGAGAAGATCAATTTTAACTTGATTTAAAATAGGCTTTTTGCATTCCGAAGTAGTTTCAAACTCCTTAAACTGAATAATCCAACTTATTATCTTATACTGTACAAATGAAAAAATAAATACAAAAATAATTTCCCCTTTTCTTTGTGGTAGATAGTTTAATGGAACTTTGTTCTGGCCAAAACTGGCAAATTTCATTAAGTCAAAAGTCATTAAAACAACCGTCACTCAAAATGCCTTAATTCTTAAAGAGCCCATTTCCTAACGTTATATCCTGGTGTTGTCTCCTATCATCTTTCTTACATAACAGAAGCAGGCAACTAAAAATTTCTGGATATTTGTTTGAAATGAAAATCAATTTCGGTGAGCGTTTCTAGCTTCTCCAACTGTTACTTCTAAAGTCGACCGTAATGCCACAAAAACACAGCTGATATTTAGTTTTTGTCAAAAATTGACTACTTTTTTTGGACGGATTAAGAACACATCAAGCAGACATTGATGCCATATTGGCTACTGCAATAGATAGACGTTATAACATTGAAGTCAGCAAACTGAATATCAGCCAGTAGCGGTGTTATGTCAATGATACACTGCTTCACTAATGTTACCACCTCATCCAGCTCACAGAGACGATGATCACGTCACCATGTTCACAATGTTAGTTCAGAGCCAGAAAAGTAAGACTTTATCAATAGAACTAGAACTGTTTAATACATTTATTGTGGTCTGGGCAGAATGGTAAAACTTACTAAAGACAGAAAATGAATCTCTAGGAATTTTCAAATGGAATCCCCAAAGACGAAAACTTCTCATTAGGATTGCAGACGAGTGACAAACTGTATTAAAAGAAAAGTGTCTTTTCAGCTACCCTCTTTGCTCAAAGCAGCATGTGTGCGACTTTATTCTATTCAGCTACAGCAGGAGTCAGGCACCATTTCTACCAAAAGAACGATTTAGAAATGTATAAAAGAAGAAAAAAGGTGAACACTCTGTTTCTATCTGCAGATATTCAGGAGGCATACCCACAATCCCCATGTAAGTGTGCATATGTGTGTAGAATTGCCTTTCTGCGTGTGTGGGGTCAAATCCAGGACCTCCTATGTCTGAGGGTCAAACAGTTTATTCTCAAAGGGTGAAATGATGTCAGACTTTAGAATGTAGTATGGTTAAAAATGCAGATGATGGTTAGGGAAAATGTGTCTTAACCCCAAGAAAAACCTTCACAAACACAGTAAAGCAAAGCTTACGAGCACGTGTGTGTCTTACCATGGGTGGCAGAGCCACTCCTGACTCAGGACAAACTAACTGGACCACAGAGCCGTAACAGATGAAGGCTTCACTCAGCACAAAGCCCCCTTGGTCAGCACGCTGGTCATCCACTAAACACACATACATAAAACCCCTCATATCAACGGAAAAAACGTAGACTGTCACACACACTCCCTTCGCAGGGATAAAACATCGGTTTAACATTTGCACTTAGAATTATTCCAGTTTGAACGTTTTTTTTTTTTCCCTTTTGTGGCCTAACTCTGCTGCCCGCTGATGAACAAAGACACATGGACAGTGAGGGTGTGTGTGCTGATGGAGGGGAGGACAGGCCGCTGATGGATGAACGACTGAGGCTGAGGTTTCGGTCCTGGGAGGTCCTTACTCTTTGAACACGGCGAGCGCTGCATAAATAACCTCACAGATCTTTAGGCTCGTTCCTCCGGACGCGGGTGAGGAAAATGCTGGTGAAAAGCTGCCCATACAGTGACTGCATTAATGCAGGGTGGCCGGCCAGCGACTGGAAGGCACAAGCTTGATGCCAGTCTCAGTTCGTCCTGTTTTGATGTCTCTGACATGATGTCCACCGTCTCAGTACGAAAGACTCTAAAATAAATCCTATTCATGCAGATTTCAAAGTATGATTGTGACACTTTACCTGATTTTACGTTACACAGTTCAGCTAAAAGTTGCGCCAAGTCTGTGTCGTTGCTTCAACTTTATGCACATTATATATATTATAATGTAATATACTGTATATATCATATATGATATATATATATATACAGTGGGATAAATAAGTATTTGACCCCTTGCTGATTTTGCAGGTTTGCCCACTTACAAAGAATGCTTATTTTTCCTCATCAGACAGTTATCCATTTGGAATCTGGAATTTTCTTTGGGATTCTGTCTTTCACTGTTAGAATGTACATATGATTAAAGTTATAGATCGTTGCATTCTTTGTAAGTGGGTAAACCTGCAAAATCAACAAGGGGTCAAATACTTATTTCGCCCACTATATATATATACTGCACATTCTATTCTATTTCAATGGCATTCAGGCCTTATAAACTTTTATAAAACAGGCGCTTTAGAGACAAATGTTTGCCACAAAACGAAATATTTAGATTTTCTTCTGCATTCTGATAATTTTTATTCCTGTGTTTTTAATTAGCAGCTTACAGTCGAATCGTATGCTGAGTCCATCGTGACCTGTTTTTGTTTAACACACGTCTGTGGGGACACAAAGCTTTGGACGAACAGCGCACACACACACACACACACACACACACACGCGCACGTTTACCCATGGTGATGGTGAAGGCCGTCCACTGCCTGGCGCTGGCCACGAAGGCTCCTCTGTCCACTGAGAGGTAGCGAGTGCTGACCGTCTGTGAGCGTAGGCGGTTGAACAAAGCCACTTTGGAGCAGGAGGAGATGCACACTGGAAACACAAACACATTCTGTGAAGACACGGCGATGAGGTGATAAAGTGTCCTTTTAAACCCCTGAGACACGTGTGTTTTTATTCCCGGACCCTCCGTGGTGGAATGCGTCTCGTGGGGCATTTTAGGTCACGTCTGGATGGGCAGACGGGCGCGTGCAGCTCTGTGAGAATGAGCAGAAGCCCATATCTCTGCTATGGCAGGGTAACAATGGAGGCTCCTTTGGCTCAGTTTCTGTGCATTATGTCCCCGCTGTCCTTTAGCCGGTTGAAAACTAAGACTCTAAGAATACAGGTTCTTCAATACTTGCTATACCAATACATATTGATTAACAGAAAATTAACATTAAACTGAATTTTGGTCAGAAACTGGTTCATGAGATCTGCTGTCCTGGTTAAAAGCACTTGATTTTGGATTTTTGATATCTTTGGAAGATTGCTGAGTATACCAACTGTGCATTGACATGAATCAGGTGTGCAGAAGCATAAAAAAACATCTAAAACCTGCAGGACAGAGTGTGAGATCTGACTGAAGATACATTTTGTTAGTTTCAAAGTTCTTAAAAATTGTTTAACAAGTCACAGAAATTGTCTCATTTGTAAAGACGGAAGAGACAACAAACATTAAATCAGTGGAAATGACAGTGTATAATATTTTGTAGGCATCATTTGAATAGTCATATTAGTCATATTAACAGGATGCTTTTTTTGGCTTTTTGGTCTCAAAACCATTCAGTTGCATCAGTGAGTTTATTTGTGTATGAATTACTGAATGACTAAATAGTTTCTGCTTCATTCGATTACACAATATATCACAAGGATCATCACCAGCCTTCAAGTGGGATATTTACCAAGTTTCTGTTTACTTTTATCACAGTTGGTCCTTTGAAAAATACAAGAACAATAGAACATCCTATTTGCTGGGGTGAAAAGTGAGACTCACAGTCAGCATTCTTCATAGACTGTCTTTTCTGGGAGGGTTTGGAGATGACTTTGATCATCTTGCTCTGGAAGGATCCCACTTCCTGTGTGTTGCCCAAGAAGAGTCTCAGAACCAGGCTGAAGTGTTTCCTCTTGTCCTGGTCAGAGATGAAGAGGGACTTTGCACAAGCAAAGAGCTGCTGCAGAGAAACAGACAGAAGGAGAGAGTGATACAAATAAATAAATATACATTCATATAAGCTGCAGTTTTGTTGATGGATTAAAGTTTGTATTTGAGTTTTTTTTAGAGTATACACTTACTTTTAACCACATTGTTGCACAAAGAGCCTTCAATCTGATAATTCGAGCTACTGCCAACAACATCAAGGCAACATGTAACACTGTAGTTCCTCTAAAGATCCGAGCAATTTAAAACCATTCCCTCACATACATTTTTTGGGGGGGGGCTTTACAGTGGCTACACTTTCCATGAACTTGTACTTATGTAAATTCTTTAAACTGATAACGCCGGACTCAGAAGTTGTTTAGAAATGTGTCCAAGACATTCCTGCAGATTTTCCCTTTTTACTGCTGGCTCCAGGGACTGCTTCCAAACAAGTGTATCTATTTATTTGATCATTTTGTGTTTTGGCACAATGAAACAAACTGCTGCAATCATTACAAACCTCGGGAAGGGAGGGCGGCTTAGACTTGAAAGACATGTTGGAAGCTTTCAGCACCGCCGGATTTGCTTAAATGTTTGTTGTGCAACAGATCTGGCCCAGAAAGAAAAAGGTCACCGGTCTGTGAATACAAACCCCTGGTGCAGAACTTCACCATTCGCCTGCGTAAATGAAGACTAACTATCAATATCATCTTCTTACTAACAGAGTATATATTCAAAGACATTTGTTTAAACCCGATCATTTAAAACGACTCTGTTTAAAGTACAAATTCAACACAGAGGACATGAAAAATTAATTTTTGAAGGAAGGTTTGGGCATCTCTTCAACACCTGTACTGAAACCATGGCCCTTAAATCAAATAACAACAGGAACAAACAAGTTCTTGTGCTTTGTGGGCCAGTCATGAGCATCTAGCAGGCCAACCCCTTGGCAGACAGATTTCCATTAATGAAATACATCCTTTGAATCTTTGGAATAATGTATTCTGACCCGCTTTACCGCCAGCCAGCTTGTTGTGAGTCTAACGGCAGCATCTGCATCCATTTTTAAAACTACCCAGATATAAAGATAAACTCCTTCTCATTAATAAACCAGCCTCAGGTCTAGACAACCAGCAGATAATGTATGCATGAAGTCCATCTTCTGGTTATGATTACAAAATGTTGTTTTTGGATTAAAACCTCTGAAACCATGTGATCAAACCCTAACCCTGAAGCACGTTGGGCAAACATACTGTTCTGTAACCCTCAGCCTTGAAGCTAGGAGATGATGTCACTTTCAATTCGACACTATAAGTCAATTGATCCAGTGGGTGTTTAAATAGTGAGCAGTATGCAACATTGACATTTTCCTCCTGAGACATGACCGACACTGAATTTATTTTTCACTCAAAACAAGTTTCACACCAAATGGATGAATGTGGAGAAGCATAACTAGCCATGCCCCCCGAGACACTGGACCTGTTAGATGCAGATACTGTATGTCCTCAGAAAAACTGTCCAGTAAATAGATCTTCAGGTTGTGAAAGCTCAGAGTTGTCTTACCCTGGAGTTTGGCTGCTCGTCAAAAACCAGCTTGAATGTGTCTGCCTGCGACTGGCTGGAGCTGTCCAGACACATGTAACCGCATGTGCGATAAACCGAGTCTCCATAACCAGCCGCTGCAAGCAGGTATTACAGAAAAAAGGTGTAAAAAGGAGGAAGGATGAGAAAAATGGAGAGTGAAGAAATCACACAAAAACACTAAACACCATTACTGCACCTTTTAAATGGTCCTGCATGACCCTCCATCCCTGACCCCTGATATAAACACATGGAGGAGGGCAGAAGAACCTGGAAAACATGGATGACCAATGAAATCAAAGGCTTTGGGATATAATTAAATGACACATTGTTAAACACAGAAGGTATGAATTTAGCTTTTTTTGTAACTTGAATGATCCCCTCCCCCTAGTCAAGTGAAACCCCATAAAAATGTGATGTTAAGCTCTAAAATGTTTCTGTTCACTGTGTCTTTCCACAGGAGCATGTTCAGAATCTTCAGACCGTTTCTCGTTGCCGTAGGACTTCTGGGCCACCTTGGCGTGGAGGATGATGATGCTCTGGTCCGCGTGGGCTTCTCTTCCCACCTGCCGTGTTGCGCCCAGTAGCTGGCATCCCTGATACCCCGGGTCCATTCTCCTGATTGGACAAAGCTGCTCTCAGTCAACCATAGAACACACAGTCTGCCTAACAGAAGAACTATAGAGAGAAAGCTGGAGGCAGGGGTAGTCAGACTGTCTAAACAAAGGTACTTATATCATATGATACTATTTATTTTATGATATCAGTTTTATATCATTTTGGCACCACTTGAAACGAACACATTTAGCTTTATATTTCAATTGTGATTGTCTTATTCTGATTTTTTCACAGATTTTTTCCACTGATATTCTCCATGAAATGCACTGGAAATATTCAAATTGGTAATTTTCTATTTGTCAAATGTATGTAATAATCGAAAAAAAAAAAAAGAAAAAGCTGAGATGATAGAATGAGATGACGTTTTCCACTCATGAACGTATCTGAGGTTTTCCCTCCAGATGTTCAGTTAAACAGCAGGCTAGCGACTGAGTGGCCGCATGGAGCTCCGCTAACAATGGCCGCTGTCACATTTACTGTGTTTGTTCTCTGCTGTAGCAGTGTAATGGGGAGCCAGACACAAAGTTACAACCCCGGGGACCCGGAGTCTGGAATGTTACTCATAATGAAGGCTGTCGACATGAAAAGGAGGAGAGCGGCACAGCCGAATGATGGATGGGACTGAAAACATATCTATAAATGATACAGACACAAAAAATTATATGTGTGGGTTGGATTTCTTTCTTTATGCGTGTTCAAGATTATGCCATAAACTAATCTCATTGGTTGAAGAAATTAAAAAAAAGTTACCCATTACAAATCCTTATCCAAAATGTGAATAAATAAAAAAGCAAATGTTGCACAAATCAACCATCTTTTTTCCACCATTCTTTTCAGCTGTGTTCAGGTGGCCAAGAACTGTAACTCAGAATATTAAACCTGCCCGGCAGGAATTCTGCGAGCAGAAAAT